GGCGGGGCAGTGCTCCTTAGCTGTGTGAATAATACAAGCCTCACTAGCTGGCTCTTGTAGTGCATCACCTGATCCATCAAACTGTCAGGGCGGGCAGCACGCACCCAGACCACACTTGCCACTACTCTCAACACTCTACGTTTTCACTATATATATATATATATATATATATATATATATATATATATATATATATATATATATATATATATATATATATATATATAATATTATGTTTCTTTTCACTGTTGGAGGTAATTCAAAAATCAATTCTCCAAAATTCATTTTTATTTCTAGTCTGACGCGACACTTGAGCGCGTTTCGTAAAACTTATTACATTTTCAAAGACTTTACACATACACAACTGAATAGAACTTACATATTTCCGATTTGTTTATATCTACATTTGAGTGAGGTGGATGGGGTGAGGTGGTATTTAATAGGGTATTAATTTCATCAACACAAGACAGAACACGAAACAATGGGTATTGAAATGGAAGTGATTGTAGAAAGCCTATTGGTCCATATTTCTTGATGCTTCTATATTGGAGCGGAGTCTTGAGGTGGGTAGAATATAGTTGTGCATTAATTGGCTGTTGATTGCTGGTGTTGACTTCTTGATGTGTAGTGCCTCACAAACGTCAAGCCGTCTGCTATCGCTGTATCTATCGATGATTTCTGTGTTGTTTACTAGGATTTCTCTGGCGATGGTTTGGTTGTGAGAAGAGATTATATGTTCCTTAATGGAGCCCTGTTGCTTATGCATCGTTAAACGCCTAGAAAGAGATGTTGTTGTCTTGCCTATATACTGGGTTTTTTGGAGCTTACAGTCCCCAAGTGGGCATTTGAAGGCATAGACGACGTTGGTCTCTTTTAAAGCGTTCTGCTTTGTGTCTGGAGAGTTTCTCATGAGTAGGCTGGCCGTTTTTCTGGTTTTATAGTAAATCGTCAGTTGTATCCTCTGATTTTTGTCTGTAGGGATAACGTTTCTACTGACAATATCTTTCAGGACCCTTTCCTCCGTTTTATGAGCTGTGGAAAAGAAGTTCCTGTAAAATAGTCTAATAGGGGGTATAGGTGTTGTGTTAGTTGTCTCTTCAGAGGTTGCATGGCGTTTCACTTTCCTTCTTGTGATGTCTTCGACGAAACCATTGGAGAAGCCGTTGTTGACTAGGACCTGCCTTACCCTGCAGAGTTCTTCGTCGACTTGCTTCCATCCTGAGCTGTGGCTGAGAGCACGGTCGACGTAAGCGTTAACAACACTCCTCTTGTACCTGTCTGGGCAGTCGCTGTTGGCATTTAGGCACATTCCTATGTTTGTTTCCTTAGTGTAGACTGCAGTGTGGAAACCTCCGCTCCTTTCCATGACTGTTACATCTCCTAAGGTTCCCCAACGTCAAGAAACTGTCGTACTAAAGTATCCTTATCCTAACCCACCAAGAGAACCCAAAACAGAAAACGGGACAGTATGTTACTTTCAGCGAACCGCTTCCATTTTCTAGCACGACAATATTTGGCCCTTAGGTAAGAGTATACGTCAAAAATACGTTGTTGTATTGAGCAGAGATTGCTCAATACAACATGTTGTATTGAACGTGAGCATGAGGTTGTATCATGCTCACGTCTCTGTAAGGTGAGAAATGAATATGTTCATTACTCGCAATGTTAGACTATATGATTATTGTTTGTGATATTTGTATATAAACTAATCCACAAGGGCCGTGATGAGGGTTCGAACCTGCGTCCGGGAGGATTCCCAGACACTGCCTTAATAGACTGAGCTACAACATGGTTAAAAGAATTGCAACCGGGAAATCATCCTGAGCTACCACGGGTCCTGCAGTCTCTCCGAGACTAACCAGGCATTTGTCCACTAGCTTAAGCTGCCTCATATCCCTTTGTGTGCCTATGTATACCCCCAATAAACTTGTTGACCAGACCACACACACTAGAAGGTGAAGGGACGACGTTTCGGTCCGTCTTGGATCATTCTCGAGTCGATTGTCGACTGGAGAATGGTCCAGGACGGACTGAAACGTCGTCGTCCCCTCACCAAGTCGATTGTCGACTTGAGAATGGTCCACGACGGACCGAAACGTCGTCGTCCCTTCGTCAAGTCGATTGTCGACTTGAGAATGGTCCACGACGGACCGAAACGTCGTCGTCCCTTCACCTTCTAGTGTGTGTGGTCTGGTCAACCTACTTTAGCCCCATTATTGTGACTCGTCGCCTAATAAACTTACTTTAATCTTGTGTTTCAGTCTTGTCGCTGCGCAACACACAAGAGGAGGAGCCCCCGGACCCCCAACTGATGCGGTTGGACAACATGCTGATCGCAGAGGGCGTGGCGGGGCCGGAGAAGGGAGGCGGGGCCGGTGCTGCCGCTAACGCCTCGGCCGCCGCCGGAGCCGGGGACTCGGCCATCGAGCACTCCGACTATCGCGCCAAGCTCTCGCAGATCCGACAGATATACCACCAAGAACTCGAGAAATATGAACAGGTAAGTTATAGGACTAATTTTGTTGGCCGTGGGAAAGGGGGTAAGTCCGGCATTCCTCGGATCAACCGGGCTGTGGTGGGTATGTGGGCCTGTAATACCGTAAGGTGTTTTGTTTAGTTTCATTTAATACATACATAGAGATTCATGAGTCACAGACAAGGATTTGAGAGGCGCCAGTTTGCCGGCCTGAAACTCACACCTCTAAGCGTTAATGACCTCAAGTTGACCTGACGTCAGTTCATGCGAATTTCACTTTGCTTCCGCTAATCTGATAATTGTAGCCTGATAGCCGGGTAGGTCCGTCAAACATGCCGACATTTAAGGAGTGACTTGGTAGAGTGCCTGAGGCTATCTACTTGTGGGCGGAGTTAGCTACTAGGTTTCCCAATATATACTGAGGGAGCTGTAGAGCATGGAGAGAAGCAATAGGAGACAGCCAGCAGAACAGAGCAGAGGACAGCCGCCTAGATAGGCTGTCGCTGGACGGGGTCTGTTCGGCCCTCAGTAGTCTGTTCCCTCTGGAAGATCGTTTACATATATCAGAAAGAGGATAGGTCCAAGGATTGACCTCTGTGGGGCTGCACTAGTGACGTCTCGCCACTCTGAGACCTGAGTACAATCCAGGAATATGCAGTCTGCCCACAAGGTAGTAGGTAGACCCTTCTCCTTCATGTCTTAAGTTTTCACATCTGGTCATAGAATTCTATTAATCCTGTGTGGCAAGATTTGCCATCCCTGAACCCCTGCTGGTGGTGCTTGCTTGAACTAGAACCCATGCTGACTAGGCTTCTTCTCTCTAGTTGTTCTACTAGTTTTATCTTACAATCTTCTCCATCTTCTTGCATGGTCTTCCATGCAAGAAGATGGCTTCTCCATCTTCATGCATCTTCTCCCTGTGGGGCCTCGTAGCCTGGTGGATAGCGCGCAGGACTCGTAATTCTGTGGCGCGGGTTCGATTCCCGCACGAGGCAGAAACAAATGGGCAAAGTTTCTTTCACCCTGAATGCCCCTGTTACCTAGCAGTAAATAGGTACCTGGGAGTTAGTCAGCTGTCACGGGCTGCTTCCTGGGGGTGGAGGCCTGGTCGAGGACCGGGCGCGGGGACACTAAAGCCCCGAAATCATCTCAAGATAACCTCAAGATAACCTCAAGATGGTTACCTTGTGGTTACCTTGTGATGGTTTCGGGGGCTTACCGTCTATGCGGCCTGGTCGTCGACCAGTCCTCCTGGTTGCTGGACTGGTCAACCAGGCTGTTGGACGCAGATGCTCGCAGCTTGACGTACACAAATTACGGACACTGCCCTGTAATTCAGTGCGTCCTGTCTGTCTTCTTTCTTGTATAGTGGGATTACATTGCAGCCCTCTTTCAAATTTTAGGCAGTTCCCTTGTTACCAGAGACTTGTTATACATCATAGGGTGTGGTAGGCATAGTGCTTCTGCTCCTTCGTTTAGTATCCATGGAGAGATTCCGCCTTTGTCGCATCTAACTCGAGCAAATGTTTCCTTAACTTCCCACTGGTAATCTCAAACTCCTCTAGTGGTGCCTGGTTAATGATTCCTTCTCTTAGTTCAGGACGGTCTCCTAGCTCTATTGTGAAGACCTCCTCGAATTTGTTCATCTGGACCAGGATTCACGAAGCAGTTACGCAAGCACTTACGAACGTGTACATCTTTCCTCAATCTTTGACGGCTTTGGTTACATTTATTAAACAGTTTACAAGCATGAAAACTTGCCAATCAACTGTTGTTATTGTTATAAACAGCCTCCTGGTGCTTCGGAGCTCATTAACTGTTTAATAATTGTAAACAAAGCCGCCAAAGATTGAGAAAACATGGACAGGTTCGTCAGTGCTTGCCTAACTGCTTCATGAATCTGGCCCCAGGTTCGTAAGTGCTTGCGTAACTGCTTCTTGAATCAGGCCCCCAGGTTCGTAAGTGCTTGTGTAACTGCTTCGTGAATCTGGCCCCAGGTTCGTAAGTGCTTGGGTAACTGCTTCGTGAATCTGGCCCCCAGGTTCGTAAGTGCTTGTGTAAACAAAACCGCCAAAGATTGAGAAAAGATGGACAGGTTCGTAAGTGCTTGCGTAACTGCTTCGTGAATCTGGCCCCAGGTTCGTAAGTGCTTGGGTAACTGCTTCGTGAATCTGGCCCCCAGGTTCGTAAGTGCTTGTGTAAACAAAACCACCAAAGATTGAGAAAAGATGGACAGGTTCGTAAGTGCTTGCGTAACTGCTTCATGAATCTGGCCCCAGGTTCGTAAGTGCTTGCGTAACTGCTTCTTGAATCAGGCCCCCAGGTTCGTAAGTGCTTGTGTAACTGCTTCGTGAATCTGGCCCCAGGTTCGTAAGTGCTTGGGTAACTGCTTCGTGAATCTGGCCCCCAGGTTCGTAAGTGCTTGTGTAACTGCTTCGTGAATCTGGCCCCCAGGTTCCTTGTACAGCACACCACTGGGTGATTCATCCTGTGAGTAAACACACCACTGGGTGATTCATCCTGTGAGTGAACACACCACTGGGTGATTCATCCTGTGAGTAAACACACCACTGAGTGACTCATCCTGTGAGTGAACACACCACTGGGTGACTCATCCTGTGAGTAAACACAGCTGTGAGTGACTCATCCTGTGAGTAAACACACCTCTGGGTGACTCATCTTGTGAGTGAACACACCACTGAGTGGTTCATCATGTGAGTGAACACACACCACTGAGTGACTCATCCTGTGAGTAAACATACCACAGAGTGACTCATCCTGTGAGTGAACACACCACAGAGTGACTCATCCTGTGAGTGAACACACCACTGAGTAACTCATCCTGTGAGTGAACACACCACTGAGTGACTCATCCTGTGAGTGAACACACCACTGAGTGACTCATCCTGTGAGTGAACACACCACTGAGTGACTCATCCTGTGAGTGAACACACCACTGAGTGGCTCATCCTGTGAGTAAACACAGTTACTCAACCACTATGACAAAATCACAGAAGCCCTAGAAGAAAAGCAAAATGCAGATGTTGTATACACAGACTTTGCAAAGGCGTTCGACAAATGTGACCATGGGGTGATAGCTCACAAAATGAGGTCAATGGGAATAACTGGAAAAGTAGGACGCTGGATACTCAATTTCCTGTCGAACAGAACACAAAGAGTAACAGTCAATCAGATAAAATCGAGTCCAAGCGATGTTAAAAGCTCTGTACCTCAAGGTACAGTCCTTGCACCGCTACTGTTCCTTATTCTCATATCTGATATAGACAAAAATACACGCCACAGCTTCGTGTCGTCCTTTGCAGATGACACAAAAATCAGCATGAAAATTACCTCTGCTGAAGACATTGAAAAACTACAAGCAGATGTCAACAAAGTTTTTGATTGGGCAGCAGAAAATAACATGATGTTTAACAGTGATAAATTTCAGGTACTCAGGTACGGCAAAAATGAGGACCTGAAACATAATACAGGGTACAAAACACAATCGAATCTTCCCATAGTAGGAAAACAGCATGTCAAGGATTTGGGAATAATGATGTCCGACGATCTAACGTTTAGGGAGCATAACCAAGCAAATATCGCGTCAGCCAGAAAAATGATCGGATGGATTACGAGAACTTTCAAATCCAGGGATCCCATCACAATGGTTGTACTCTTCAAGTCACTTGTGCTGTCCCGTCTCGAGTACTGCTCAGTACTCACTTCCCCCTTCAGAGCAGGAGAGATTGCTGAAATAGAGGGAATACAGAGAACATATACGGCACGCATAGACGAGATAAAACACCTAAATTATTGGGATCGTCTCAAAGCTCTCCAAATGTACTCTCTAGAAAGGAGACGAGAGAGATACCAAATAATATACACCTGGAAAATACTGGAGGGTCAGGTCCCAAATCTACACAGTAAAATAACAACGTACTGGAGTGAACGATATGGAAGAAAATGCAAGATTGAACCTGTGAAGAGCAGAGGTGTCATAGGCACAATCAGAGAGCACTGTATAAACATCAGAGGTCCAGTGAAGAGCAGAGGTGCCATAGACACAATCAGAGAACACTGTATAAACATCAGAGGTCCAGTGAAGAGCAGAGGTGTCATAGGCACAATCAGAGAACACTGTATAAACATCAGAGGTCCGCGGTTGTTCAACGTCCTCCCAGCGAGCATAAGAAATATTGCCGGAACAACCGTGGACATCTTCAAGAGGAAACTGGACGGTTTTCTAAGAGAAGTTCCGGATCAGCCGGGCTGTGGTGGGTACGTGGCCCTGCGGGCCGCTCCAAGCAACAGCCTGGTGGACCAAACTCTCACAAGTCAAGCCTGGCCTCGGGCCGGGCTGTGGTGGGTATGTGGGCCTGCGGGCCGCTCCAAGCAACAGCCTGGTGGACCAAACTCTCACAAGTCAAGCCTGGCCTCGGGCCGGGCTTGGGGAGTAGAAGAACTCCCAGAACCCCATCAACCAGGTATCAACCAGGTATCAACCAGCTGTGAGTGGTTCATCCTGTGAGTAAACAGCTGTGAGTGGCTCATCCTGTGAGTAATCGGCTGTAAGTGGCTCATCCTGTGAGTGAACACACCACTGAGTGGCTCATCCTGTGAGTGAACACACCACTGAGTGACTCATCCTGTGAGTGAACACACCACTGAGTGGCTCATCCTGTGAGTGAACACAGCTGTGAGTGGCTCATCCTGTGAGTAAACACACCACTGAGTGGCTCATCCTGTGAGTAAACAGCTGTGAGTGGCTCATCCTGTCACTCCCCCCTCCCCTCCCTCCAGACGCCACAGGCATGTGTTAAGAGTTACTAGTGCCTGGGGGGGGGGGAGGGGGCGTGAGGGATTGGTTTTGAAGTGACATGGTCTGGCGGGATGAGTGAGTGACCGGGCCTGGGTGCTGACGGCCGCCCGACACTCGCTCCCGCCACTCCCATTAATCTGCCGGGATAACTTTAGTGATGCATGGCTCTCCATGCCGTGGTGTTCCCCCCTCCTCTTCCCCCCTC